AAAGAGTGCTGTGGAGGCACCAAATCTTTATGTGACATGCAATGCAGCCACATTTTCTAGGTCTGTCTGTACAATAAACACTATATCCAACAATGTTTATATTATTGTCAGTTATCGCCTTGGTCAACCAAGTTTCAGAGATTTCAAAGAAATTAGCATCTGTCAACTTAACCCAGACTCTAATCATATCCATACTGGGAAAAAGCTGTGTAAAATAACCATAACCTGACTCTGTAAAGTCAGGCTGGAAGTGAAAGGATTATACCCTGACTTTTCCTACAGATTCTTGAACATACAGTAGCCCAAAAGGTCTTGGTACTGTAAAGCATAAAAGAGCTCTACACCATAATCCCACGTGAACTGAACTTTTAACTTGATGAAATGGTCAAATGGGCGTTATTCTCCTGACAGCTACCAACCCAGACTTGTCCTATGGATTGCAAGACAGCAAAGAGTGATTCTTCCAAACAGAAAACATCTCTTCATTACTCTAGTGTCTGGTGCAGGTGCACTTGATACCATTACGTCACATTCTTTGCATTGTACCTGGTGACGTAAAGCTTGAATGTAGCTGCCGGGACATTGAAACCACATTCATGAAGCTCATACTGTTCCAGAACTAATCTGAGGCCACATTAGCTCTTTAGCTTTTTGCCATACAGAGTTGGTGAATTCTGGATATTAAATACAAGTCAATAGCCATTAACCACACTGTGATTTCTCTACTTAGAGCAACTTTGTCTTTTATGGGTCTTTGTAGAAGCAGTTTGCATTACTAGGAACTGGATTTTGTAAACATGTAACCATAAAAGCAAGTGGAACAATTGAATGTAGTCATTTTAAGAGGTGACTCAAACCTTTTGGCAATGTAGTTTATCCCCCGAGATACCAGAGTTGACAGACTGACAACAAAATGTCAGTAATTGTGTAAATTTAGTAGACAAATAAATCTCCAAAAAACATTCCAATAAAAAACTAATGGTGTTACCATACTGTTGCCAAATGTACATTCTTTAAAGAGTGAAATAGCCCAGAATGTTGTGTAAAACAGGATTGAAGGCATCAGGTTTCTTTTGTTAGCTTGCTTCTTTGGGATACACAAAGAAACTTGTGTATTCTGAAGATGACTTTGAGCCAAATGCGATAACAACACCTAAACTTACTTTTACAGCAGGAAAATATCCTTACATCTTTATATGCTTTAGGGAAATAATAGCTGACCCACTGTTAAATGAGCCACAGGTCTTACCTGACATAAACACTTCAAGGTGAACTGCAGACGTTTAACCAACAAAAAGTAAGTCCAGATTGGTTTGCTTCATCTCAGTCTCTTAAGTTGAGAGCATATATTATGCTCACTGTTGTTTTTTCTTGCTGTGATGGAGCACAGTGCTGAACAGCTGACATATCTCTCCCCACATACTAACATCCAAAATAGCTCTCTGCCAGTGTGAAGGCAAAGATAGCTTTGGCTTTAATTGTGGTGGGAGGCAACTCGTTCTCAGCATCAATGAAACCATCAGCAGTCTAAATCTAAACAACAGGATTAGGGTATTTGATGGTTTTCTCTGGACATGAATGATTGGCTCATACGTAAATGGTGTTTTCCTTAGTTGTATATTGATAACCCTCTCTATACAGTGTGTGTGTGTGTTTGGCAGCCTCTGGTTTAAACGTCAGGTCAGCTGAATTCATTTCAATGGATCTCTGAGGGGGGTTTCCATCTATCCCTGCACTAAAAGAACATCAAGGATTAAGGAATATGGAGTAACCCATCTCAATGAATCAAGAGAAAAAAATATTGAAATGCTTTGATATCCAATGATTGCATGATGACCTTTATGCAGATCAGGATCTCTTATTAGCCAAAACAACATAAATAAAAAAGAGCAGATACTAATTATGTGCGATTAACACAACACTCAAACTAAATCTATTTGGTATCTCTATTTTATTTTGATTATTGTTAACAATTTATGGGTCATTCTCATCTGCATGAAACAAAGCCAGCAGCAACCCTAGCTGTGTCTAAGCCCTTTTGATGGACAGCTCCATGTGCTGTGGAGCTTTGTTAAGACCGTTGAAACTCTATCAACAGAATAATCTCTGCTGAGTGCTGTTGGGACATGAAAAACAGCAGAGGATGGCGACATAGGTGTTCTCATTTCACAGACCATTTTATTTTTTAACATGGTTTTTTTACATTTGAGGATAGCCTGATTTTTATTGGAAGGGTTTGATTTTATTTTTTATTCTTTTTATCAGCTTTTTTGCTTTTTTAACTCTTTTGATGTTTATCTTTCCTCTTTGAATTTTTCCCTTTAGGTGGTGCTTGCTCTTCTTTTCCAGTGGCGGCTTTATATCTCCTTTTTCCTAGAGGTGTCTTCGCATACCAGCTCTGAAATAAAGGAAATGTTTTAAATTCACACCTTAGACGTATAGAACATAATCTTAATAAAACTTGAAATAGTGCAACTTCTACATACTTTTATTGCCTCCTCTTCCTTCTGGAACACGGGCTCCAGCTTGCTCAATGGTGGAATAAAATCATCAGCGATGAAGGATCGTTTTTCCAGCTCCTGGATGTGAACTTCGGAAACTAGGCTGTTGATGACTTGAACCATATGGCCTGGAGTGTAGCCATCAGTTAACCTCGTTAGATTGCTGAGGTCAACTGCCTTTATTTTACCTCCTTGCTTTTCGATAAGTTTTTTCCATAAAACTGAAGTACAATCAAACAAACAAAAAGAGGCTTGATTCCACATTATTAAAAAACGAACTGTCAATTTTTAAAAGGATTACTGCATATTATGTTTTACCATATCTTGAGCCGTAGTCATGCTGGGGATGAGAATGATTTTGCTGTACATTTTAGACAACGCTTTAATATCAGCACTTTGTGGGTCTCTTGTTGTTCCGATTATCAGGACACGATCTTCTCCTTTGATCAGTTTGAGACACTTTGGCAAAACCTTCTTTAGTCGCCTAGGGTCTAACTCTTCTTCCTCCCTGGGAACTTTTCTGTAGAAAATTTTCTCTGTCTCTCCAATCCATATCACAGATGGTTGCAGAAGCCTCGCAACCTACAGTATATATAAATAAGCTATGAGGATCTGAATTTGGACTATTTTGCCAACAAATTGTTAAAAAACATTAATTAGGCTACGTTTCAGACTGCTGAATGTACTAACACACATAGGAGATATAGGCGGCCTAGTGATTAGGACATAGAGCTTCGAGTTCCGAGTTTAAGCCCAACTCCCACAGACTGCCACTCTGGGTCCCTGAGCAAGACCCTTAACCCCACAGCAGCACACTGCTCCCAAAGGGGATGGGTTAAATGCAGAGCTAAATTTCTCGTATTTGAGATCAATAAAGTTAAATCATAGTCGTTACATTTTTACTACTTTTTCTTTAAGTATACATGACTGATGTGTTCAGGAAACTAAATTGTGATTTTAAGAGAAAAAATCTTAAAAGTAAAATAAAATAAAACCAGAAAACAAAGTTCTGCATACATACACTCTTTTTATATATATATATATCATTTTTTTTATATGTTTGCTGTTTTTATAATTTTCCTTATTTTTTTAAATTGGAAATTGAAAACTATAAAATAACAGTAGTTAAAAATCGCATGACAATGTTTTTAATACTCTTTGCAGCAAAGGTATTACTTGGGCACCAACAGTATTTGTGTGATAATATATTTGCCCCCCGGCCAAATTTGGCACTGATGTTCTAGTCAAAGCTGACAGTTACAGAGAATTCTCCTTTTTTAAAAGCTTATATAAACATATACAGGACATCTTAAAAAAAACCCAAAACAATTAAATGTACCATTATGTATTTGAAGTTTCACTTTACCTAACTGAACTAGCTAAGATTTGTCTGTGGAATCTTTTCTGCTTGTTCCAAGTCAAACAAGTTGGTAAGCAGCGTCCTACCTTAAAGACCATATGAAGCATTATTGTCAGTCCATTCTTGCCTGGGTATTTTCCCGCTGTGTTATAAGGGGACAAATCAAACAGGGTGGCACCTGTCTCCCGACAAACTGCATGGACCAACATGTGCTTACCCACACCCGTGGGCCCCACCAGCAATATGGATTTTACTAAAGGAGCCTTCTCATGAACCTCCTGAGAGCCTGCAAACCAAACACATTTCATACCAAACATGTTCAATGTTTCATGTTACATACATTAATATTTGTTTAAAATACTAAGTATTTAAAATGACTGTCATACCCAATGGTAAAATTGCATATAAGGTCAAGACTTCACGGACATCTAGCAATGAAGGCATGGGCTCAACGTCATTTTGTCTCAGAACAGTCCCAAGATAATTAGATTCTCCTAAAAAAGAGGAAAATAATTTTAAAAACACTGTTTTTGATATTTCTAATGATTAACTGGCTGAGGCTCTTTGATATGTAAAATAGATTGTTTTGGGATAAAGTATATATTGCTATGCTTGATACAAAAATATTATTAAGTTATTACAGCAAGTAAATAGACCCAATATTCATACAAAATGCGGGCACCATCTAAATGTGATATTTATAAGCAAAGCTGAATTAACTAATTTCGAAAATGTATTAAAAGCTAAATATATAGTGTTTTTAACAGTTTTCACACAAGCTAATAAAGAAGCCAGAAGAGGGCACCACATCATAGCTAATTAAATGACAGACTTTTTGTTTATTTATTTTTTTCCCTTTCATCCCTTATAACTGTGGGGGGGGAAAGCAAGCAAAGGTTGAAGATAAACCTACAGTATTGATATATTCATGAATTAAATATACATTAAACCGTATACTTTCTTACCCAAGAAATCTTGCATCCTAACATTTTTGGCCTGTTTTATTAATCCTTGCTCCACCAGCTCCTGGCACAGAGACTCAAGAGTCCTAGTAGATGAAAAGAAAGTTTTCTTTATTGTTGTGAAATTTTGGTGGAAACTTATAAAAAAATAAAATATGATTATTAGATGATAAACATCACCTATCAGCTGTCAGATCTTTTTCCTTTTTCCTCTTTTTTCCACCCTTGGATACTTTTTTCTTCTAAGAAATATACGCAGGTAATACTTTTATATATATATAAAAAAAGTTAATATTAATTGAGACTAGACTCTAAGTAGATACCTTAGCATACGCTCTTGCTTTGGCACCCTTGTCTTTATCCACTACTAGCTTTAACTCAGAGAGTTCCTGTCGCATCTCTTCATCAACCTTTTGAAAGAAGAAAAACGAGAGAGCAGTGAGACAAAAAAAAACATTCAGCAATCTATCTGTTTTTCCATCCGTCTTTCCATTCATCCCCACAAAAACAGAGCTGAGGCAGTACAGACCGAACAAACAACTGGCTGCAAAATAAGAAACTAAACGTTCTTGACTGAGATGGGGAGAGATAACTTAAAAAAGTGACGGAAGAAACTTCTTAAACATTTCACAACTTTAAAGGAAAAGATGAGCAAATTTTTCTCAGATTTGCAAAATGGATTTTTAAATGTCAATGAAAATAAAAATAAAATCAGGAGAAACATTGGTATAATAATACCTTTATTCGAACTTCTGCTTTTATGACTTTTCTTATTTCTTCTTTTATCAACTCCACCTCGTGCATCTGAGTGAAGTTTTCTGACTCATCACGGTTTTTCCAAACCGCTGTGAAAACAAAGATTAAGCCCAAATTAAAATGTTTTTAATGAATTATTTTTTATTTTAGATGGATGAAAATAACTGCATCAAAGTACATGGTTATAGTATTTCCTGCTTTTGTAAAGGTATACTCATATGGTCATATTTTCATTATTTCTTCTAGTGGTTAGGACATAGAGCCTAATATCCTGAGGTTCTGAGTTTAAGCCCCACTCCCACAGACTGCCACTCACTGAGCAAGACCCTTAACCCCACATTACTCCCCAGGTGCCCCAAGATGGCAGCGCAGTGCTCCCCAAGAAGATGGGTAAAATGCAGAGATAAATCTCTACAATGTGAGAGCAGTAAACTTCAATTATTATTAAATTAGTTTAAAAGCTGAACTGACTTGATTCCAAACTCTTCAAAATAAACTTTGTTTCTCAAAAAAAAAGAATCCATGCTGAACTGATATCATTGCATAATTTTACTGATTACGGGTTTCAACCATTTGATTTCTTTTCTATGCATCCAAAGTAACTTACTTTAGTTGAGATTCACTATTTTATTCAAGACTTTTTAACTGAAATATGATTGATCTAGGGTTGAATTACTTTGTTAATACATTCTTATATTTTAAATGGAATTAGCTTTATATTTGTTTCAAATGTGATCTGCTGTTAACTGCACTTCCATGATTTAAGCTCAAATCACACTTTTATTTGCTGACAAACAAACAGCCAGTTCGGTGCATGTTATTTGATTAAACAACACAGTTGCAACAGCATTTTATTGCAAATGCATTTAACATTGGATTTAAACCTACCTTCAAACCTTTTGTTTGCTGCTTCCAAGTCTGAAAGGAAAGCAGAGGGCATCTTCTTCAACCCTGCATCCTCATCCTGTGGCTCAGGACAAAAATCTATTAGGTCTGAGAAACAAGCAAGACTTTGCTAGATGAACCAGTGACATGTTGTGAAACATGTTGTGATCTAAATCTAATCTAGATTCAGGATGACTTATGAAGTGGTGAACTTGTGCAAATATTTTGCGTGCTGTAAATTCTTTAACTTACATTTACTCTTACTTCCTCTTTTTTCTTCAATTTGCTCCTTTTTTCTTCATCTTCTGATTCCTTAATTTCCTCCATTAACTAAAAAATGCAAAAAAATAATATTTAATATACACAGGAGGTATTAACCTTTGTGTTTAAGTCAGGATTTTGAAGAGACCATGGAGGGAAGCTATCAGTAAGCCTTATGGCAAACTGTCCATTGTCTCTAGGGGGGAGAGCAGTGCTTCTCACTCCCACTGTTTACTGTTTACTATGGGAGTGGAAAGCTGCTGACTTTGACCAAGTACACTGTCTGACAATTGTAGGAATACTTTGAGGATCTCCTCTATGTAGCTGACACATCTTCCCATGATGGAAGCAGGGACAAGGGCTCTGGGTTTTGTTTTTTTATCACCTGGGCTGAAGTCACCAATGTTGTCAAAAACCTCCGTATTGGAACGTTTTTTTGGTTAGATGAGAGCCACCCTGAGCACGTCAGATCTCTGGATGTTACTGGGCTGTCATGGTCTACACAACCATTCAACATTGTATGATGGATGTGGACAGTACAACTAGACTGCCAGACCAGGGTAGTCGTTCCCCTTATCAAGGGGGACTGGAGGGTGTGTTCCACTTACAGGGGATAGCATTTCTCAGCCTCCAAGGAATGGCGTCTGCCAGAGAGCCTAAAGAAGACCAGTGTGGGTTTTTTTTCCCCAGCCACGGAACAATGGACCAGCTCTACACCCTCTGAAGGGTGCTCAGTGATTCCTGGGAGCTTGCCCAAATGTTCCACATGTGCTTGGTGGACTGGGAGAACTGATTCCACTGTTTCCCTTGAGGTGCCCTGTAAGGGGCACCACATGAGTACAGAGTTGATGGCCCTTTACTAGGGCCCATCTCTGTCAAAGCTTAGCGGGAGTCTGATCCACATTGCAGAGAGGATCTGGTTTGTGGACCAGCAGATTTTATGACTTGGTTCTGCTAATTCCCTCCTACAACCTACAACATGTGCTAAGGTGGTTTGCAGGTGAGTGCGAAGCAGCCCGGATGATTATCAGCTTCTCAAAGTCCGAGTCAATGGTTCTTGAGAGGAAAAAAGTGGCTTGCTCTCTTCAGGTCAGAGAAGATAACGCTGAAACATAGACGCTTCAACGGTCTGTTGTGGCAAAAAGAGAGCTGAGCGAAAAGGCAAAGCTCTCAATAGACATGTTGATTTCCTACCATCACAATGTTCATGACTGAAAGAACTAGATCATGGATACAAGAGTTGAAATGAGCTTCCTCCACAAGGTAGTTGAGCACTCCCATAGAGATATGGTGAGGAGCTCCACAATCAAGGAGTGGTTTAAAGTAGAGCTGCTTTTCCTTCGCTTTGAGAGGTATTAGCTGAGTTGATTCGGCCATCGGTTTGTGATGTCCCCTGGGCGTCTTCCTTGCGTCCAACCTGGTCCTAGATAATTAAAAGACCACAGGTACGAGTTTACGTCAGGATGCACTGTACCTGCTGAGGGTTTTTTTCAGAAAATATGAGAGCTGAGCCACCATCCTCTTCACTTGGGTAGTCTGGAAAAACTCCTGTGGTGTCACTTTGAAACAAAGAATTTTAATTATTGAGTAACACATAGGCTTCACTAATTTTGGAAATATTTTCTACCTCATCTCAAAGGCCCAACCTCACCGACATTCATAAAACCACTGCCGAATCTGATTTTTCATTGTGTTGCTCATGTCTTGGGACTCGGTTTCTCTGAGCTGCTTCAAGATTTGCTCCACTGACTTTAGGTAATCTTCCTCGTGCTTCTTCTGTTGTATTCGAATAGAAGATTTAATAGCTTGGGCAGCAATCTCTGCTGAAGAAGGGGTGTCATATTCCGTGTACGCTACCTAGCAAGTGTAGACACAACAGTATTTTAAAAAATGTACTTATTCCAAGATTTAAGGAAGTAAATTGTTAAAACAAACTAAAAAAATTATTAGAGCAAACAGCAAACAGCTTAAACTTAAAGGTATAGTGGAGGATGTTCTTTTTCCGGGTGGATTATCAAAATAAGTGGTCCTCCTAATTGTCAATCATTCTGGTGATATGTTTACGTAAGGCCTTCCTATGTGCTCATCCCAATTTTCATTTACCGGTGGTGAGTCTGACATGGTGGAAAAAGTACAAATCTTCTTTTGGAAAGTAAGCTTGTATGAGCGATGCAAACAGCAACTTTTAAACTGAGCATACACAAGGAGAAATGGGCTTGAGCATGCTCTCAGATATGTTTAATAGACGTTCCCTCTCAGGAGCAGGTACAGGGTTGTGCACTTTTTTTTTAAGTAGAGAGGGTGGGTCTTTTCAAACAGGTCAGAAAATCCTCCACTATACATCTAAAGTAAAGGCCAATAGTAAAAAAAAACATAGTAGTTTAGAAAAACCTGCAGAATATGTAACAAAATGATGAAATCCAACTTACTATTCCAAAGGAAAACTTCATCTCATCCCTTTTCTTTCTTTCTACATAGGACCTCCAGACCTGCGAATAAATTTCAACCACACCAATTACCAAAGAGATGAAGCCTAGACTGAGAAAATAGCCAATAATACCATGTTTGTGACAAAAGACCTTCTGAATCCGGATGGCAGCAACCTCAGGGCTAAGCGCTACAGTGGTCTTGGCTTTTTTCGTCTGCTTGCTTAACTTAGCTCTTTTTCTGCCCTGCCGCGCCCTCTCTACCATTTGAAAGATCTGTATGGCTTCCTTTTCAGTCATAAGCCTGTCCAGTGAAGTCTGCAGAGACTAAATAATAGGAAAAGAAAAAATTTTAGACAAAGCAGTAAAAAAAAAAAAAGCTAATCATTGTTCTTGCTTTCGATATAAAGCAAAGTTTTATACTATATGTTTCCAAAATGTTACAACATTTTATATGTACAGAAATTGTACCTTCTTATTTTTTAGGCTTTAATTCAAAAGTAGCTTAATTTTAACTTACAACAGGATTTTCCGTATCCTCGACCTTTTTTAAAATCTCCATCACCATTGTTTTTCGTTCTTCAACTTCTTTGCTGCGTTCATTGAGAAAAAAGTGTGGAATGGGTATCTCAAGTTCGGCCTAAAAATACAAGAGCGAATTTGTGACATCCTCCATATACATTACAATAAAAATGTTTTTGTCCTCTTAAGTATTTACAATAATTTAGCTTTTCGTGACAGTTTAAGGTTTTAGATCAAACAACAGCTATCTGATAATTGTAATAATTCATAATGAATCTTTTATTTCACTGTAATTTAAATTTGATTGACACTTCTTCCTGGAGTTGTTTTAGTAACACTGGAGAGTTATCTCATGTGATCAGCTCATTTAGGGCCAAACCAAACCTCAGGCTTTGAACAAGTCTTTTCATTGCTTTGCCACTTTCAGAGGTACATATTTTGGTGTCATTGGATTATTGTCGTTATTCATAACTAAAGTGTTTTAAGCTTTAGGCCAAGTGGAGAAAGAATACTCTCCTTGAGGATGCTCTGCTGGGGAGTAAAACAACCGGTTCATTCAGCATCCATTTCCTAAAAAAGCCCAAATCATTACGCCATCACCATGACTGACTGTTGGTTTAATGACATATTCTAACATAATTTTATTTCTGGGGACATTATTTTACTCATTTTTTTGTTAGTTGAAAAGGTCAAACAATGGACTATATTTGGAAATTATCAACTGGCTAGGCAACGCCAATATTTTTTTACCACGTAACTTATGTTTTGTCCTAGATCGAGTCACCCCAACTTACTGAGCTTACTAAGTTCTAAGTCCATGTGTGATCGTACACATACCCTCCAAAAAGTTCCGCATTTGTCTCTTCAGTATTTTCACAAAACCCTAAATTAGTTGTTTGTTTCTGTAAAACGTTTTAATGCCAATTATGAGATGTTCCTTAGTTCTTTTGAGGGAGCGGGGGCTTTCAGCTTGAAACTCCGTAGTGAAAGTCATTTTTACCCATTTCATCATCTATTGTTAAAGTCATACTCAGAATTCAAACTTCTGAAAGCACTTTAAATATGATATTATTATACACTTTTCAATAAATGATTATGATATGTAAATTTTATTTGACTGTGCTTTATTGGAAACATCAATGTTTGTCAAAGAACACTACTGCCACCTACCGGTTTGTGACGTCACGGTGCGTTATCGGTTGTTGAGCAAGTCCAAGTACTCTATCTAGTGTTTGTCACAACGCACCATTATCCAAGTCATCTTGAAAACTTTCTTCTTTGAAATGTTGGCTAAATATTATGTGTTTTTTCCCTGGCCAGAAGTTCGATGGCAAATCCTCCCTCTTTTAGTTGGCAATCCAACGACGAATCAATCCGTGGAGGATCATGAATCGGAAAGGTGAAATAACTAATTTTTTATCAGTTTCACCTGATGTATTACAGCAGACAACTGCCATGCACGTGGGCATTGTCCGTTTAACTATAGCTCTTGCAAATTTCAATGGTGAAGTCCTCACGAAATCCTAAATAATTTTTGCTGATTGCAGATGTGTCTAGAAGCTCCCATTGATTTTGCTTGCAAACCAGTGAGAATTACGCTCGGCTTACCGCACCGTGACGTCATTGTCGGAAGATGTCAGGAGTTAGGTGTTACTATATTTGGGCAACTCAGTGATCGCGCCTAATTTTTTTATTTATTTATTTATTTTTTTACTGATTAATGCTAAATCACCGGGAACGTATTCATTTTAGGTATAGAGAATTATCCATTGTTTATTCCTTGCTGACTGGACTTCCTTTAAATAAATACTTTAACCTGTTACCTGTCCACACCCAAATCACAAAAAACTATTTTGAGATGCCTAAAAACAAAGCATGAATTAAATCAGTTGGTTCATTAATGCTTTGTCAGAGTCTAGCCTGCCACAAAAACCATTGGGAAAGCCGACAGTAGCCTTTTTGAGGAAATACGAGGCTGCTTATTTGGAGGTATCACATAGTCCTGCGGATGAGGTGTGGCAGTTAACGGGTGCACAGAGGGGATAATGCCTGCAGTGCTTTAAAATACTGATGTTAGTTCTGTTGTGAATTGCTTGAGAGCTGAGGTATGGTTGGCCATCGGCTCTTATGAAGGTTGACCATTTTTTCTCCATTGATGGAGCATGGAACTTAGTCTGGTGGCGACGAAAAGCCTTGGAATGGGCCTTGCAGATTTTTTTGAGTTTCTTTGAATCACACAGCCAGTTCTTTCAGATGACTTTTTTCCTTCATATAAGTATTTATATTTTCATAAGTGCCTCTTTTATTTTATCGCACTTTCTTTTGCGATAAAATAGCTATACTTTGATCTGAAACTTTCAAGTAGTACTTGAAGCAGAAGCAGAATAACTCTATAAGAGAGGCAAAACATTTTTAGAGCATTGTAAATGTATCCCTGCTTTCTAAAAAAAAAACCCTCTTACTTCAAAACTAAAACTTACAGGTGTTAGTTTCAGCGCATGTAGGACATCATTCACATAGTGGTATTCTGAAAACTCTGTTTCCACCATGTCGTTCTTCAGCTCGAGGATCCTTCCCATCACACCATTCAAAATCACACGAATTAATCGTCTCTTTTGAGGATGGACTAGGCCATTGTGGGCTTCCTCCAGCTGCCTGAAGACTTGAATGTAGCGCACATAAAGTGTTGCCAGTTGCTGGAAGAAGACCAGCCTGTCTCGCTGTGGTGGAGGGGGTTCAGGGGGGAGTTCTTCAGCCAGCAGATGACTTAGCTCTAACATGGCTTCCTTCCACATCTGGCTATATGAACTGAAACAGAATAAACTCAGAGGTAAAGTTGGTCACAGATTAGAAATGTAGTAAGGCATAATATTTTAGACCAAAATTAAGACATATATTATTAAAAGCTGTTAAGTCTGAATAAAAGTTCTGAAAGGTTTAGATGAAAAAAAAGAAAAAAGAAAAAAAAAAACAGGCTTGGATTGATATACAGAGGTGTCAAGTAACGAAGTACAAATACTTTGTTATTGTACTGAAGTACACTTTTTAGGTATCTATACTTCATTACTTATTTTTCTTCCTTCTTCTGACTTCTACTCATTACATTTTCACACAAGTATCTGTACTTTCTATTCCTTACATTTTTAAAACAAACCTTACTATTGGCTTCGGTTTAATGTTAATAAATATTTATTTCACGTCATGTGCGCCATCCAATGCAGACCATCAGCGCCATCCACATCTAGTGAAAACTAGTATAATTAGCGGCTGCTAGTTTTTCGCCTACATTATTTCCATTAGCAGCTAACAAAATAAGATTTAAAATGCTACCGAACGAATCACCCATAAATGAGACTGGTTGGAAGGTTTACCTCTGCGACATCTCTCGATATGTCAGTGGTGTGGGAAGTAAAGCAGCTCAGTTATCGATTAAGACGTCAAAAACTGATAATTTTGGCGTTCAGAGAAGGGCGGCCGCAGATTAACTAATGGCGACTCCCGTCTCCATGGTAACGGCTAACAAACGCTGGGCTTGAATGGGTCTCCCCCAAATGTAGTTTCTGGATGTTGTATGATGATGAGATGTAGTACTGTAACTTTTCCCCCCCCTTTTCTGGTTGAAATAACAATAAAAAATAATAAATATAATAGACAAGAAGCATAAACTCTTACACAACCGCGACGGCTTTATTTATAATAATAAATTGCACGTCTAAAATAGTTAATTGATATACATGGACAGACGGGCATACGGAAGAGGGTTAAGTTAACTGATTTTTAAATATTATTTCAGCTTAATATGGGAAAACAGTCGGAATTCTGAACTTTTTTCTCAGAATTCTGACTTTAATCTCAGAATTCTGACTTTTTTCTCAGAATTCTGACTTTAATCTCAGAATTCTGACTTTTTTCTAAGAATTCTGACTTTAATCTCAGAATTCTAAAATTTTTCTAATAATTCTGATATTAATCTCAGTATTCTGACATTTTCCCCCAGAATTCCGACTCAGAATTCTGACTTAAATCTCAGAATTGTGATTTTTTTTTCCTCAGAATTCTGACTTTAATCTCAGAATTCTGACTTTTTTCTCAGAATTCTGACTTTAATCTCAGAATTGTGACACACTGACAAAGATGGGAGTTGTTTGAAAGGGCCAGTGACACATTGGTGGAAAATGACGGAATTAGGCGTGCCCGAGAGGTCCCCGGTGATGCCATTTCATTAATGGAGGAGCAGAAGTTGATTGAAAACTAGAGACCTACTGTAGGTTAGTCTCTAAAACAGTCATGCCTTGATGCTAACATGTTTTTTAGCTGTCAGAATTCAGCCAGAACTCTGAGATTAAAGTCAGAGTTCTGAGAAAAAAAGTCAGAATTCTGAAATTAAAGGCAGAATTCTGAGATTAAAGTCAGAATTCTGAGGGAAAAAAAATCAGAATTCTGGGAAAAAAGTCAGACAGACATATCTTTACAAAATGTAAATGAAGGCTAAAAGAACAAAGTCAGTCCCAGGGACTGTATGTCTGAGCAGTACGAAATGCTTCCAGCCCCAAGTTACACTGCATGGATGGAAATAAAATAACAACCTTCTGCATTTAAAAAAAACTCTTACTTTAGCATGAAGTCTGTGTGTGTGTTCATGTATGTGCATATTTAAGTTAACATTTTGAAGACCTGGCTTGTAGTTGAGGTGATGGCAAAGATGGACAGTTAATCTTTGGAGGTAAAAGATAAATAATTGGAGGTAATGACCAAATATACATAGGTATTTTTTTTTATCAGATGTTTATAAACACAAATAGATATTTTTTTTGCATCGATTCTCCTGTTGCAGTGTTTCATTATCTTTTGAGAGGTTCATTTCTTATATCTTACAAGAAACAAAATAAGAGATAGGGAAAATCTCAGAAGATAATAACAATGTAAAACAAGTATCAATATAAAAACATAATCTATTTTTCGTACGTATAGCTCCTTTAGCCATTGACTGATTTTCTTTTAATTCTGGCAAAATTAAGTGTATTTGATTTTATGTCTCAGTAGTTGCAGTAGCTACTAGTATTTATGCTTATATCACTGTTTTTCTGAATACATTATCTTATTGAAATCCATGCCTTGGCTATAATTTTATTCTGGGAACTTGGAATGCTTAAGGTCTTATTCAGATCATATTTATGTATAGTGACAAAGTATAACTACATATGCCTCTGGATGAATTATATATTTTTTTCAAAATGTAAATCGATATTGTTTCTGGATTTGGCTTACAGTCACCGAATAAGGCTGTTTCCAAAAACAGTGATGGAAAAGTGAGTGGAAGGAAAATCCCTGGTAAGAAAAGTCTAAACAAGCAGCTAAAAACAAATACCTTTTAAAAGTCTCAGGGAGATTCACAGGAATACAGCTGGTGTGAATACTTTAAGAGCTACCACAGACATGTTTTCAACATGGGCTTAATCTGTTTTATTATTCATGTTAAGCCACCCTTGAACCAGAGACAACTTCAGAACTATCTCAATATACCTAAAGAACCTGACTGTTGCTGCTCTTTTAAGATGAAAATAAATGAATCATTTTACTTGGAAGTCATTGTCCCAGAATCCTAAGCAAAAACGGAAACACACAGAATTAGCTTGAGGTCTAGTTCTAGCTCAGTGATGTCACAATAATGATTAAGGAAGCCAGTGCACCTGTCAACCTGCTGTGTTTGATCAACTCCAGGGTCATTTCAGACATCTTTTTTGTGCACTTCATGTTTCCTTCTCTTGATAGTTGTATAAATATCTTGATCCAATTTTCCAACAGGACTTGGCACACCCCAAACTTCCACAAACTTGCCTTACCTTAAGCACATGGAGTAGACCTTTCTATTGTCAACACTACACACAAGAAAAAAGCTGCCCTGAAATGAACCTGGACTTCATTAACTATTTAACATAGATGTAGTAATTCATCCTAAATGAGTTTTGACAAGTTTACACATGCACATATTGTTAAGGAGCCAAACAAGCATTTTTCATAGGCTCTACAAACCCAAAGATTTTGTTTAATTACCTGTAAGACAAAATCACCTTAATTAACTTAAATGAACACGGGAAATATCTCAATGCATATATAGACTAGACTATATGTTTTACTCTCTAAATTAGATACTGACATGGATACAAGTTAAAGTTATTCTAATTCATTTAAACGCACCGTTATCCTTCAGAATGAAGACAGTTGTTTCTTTAATGTAGTTTGACTCATGCTTGAACTGCGGATTACCAACATTAAGATGTCCTCCTTTGTGCATTAGTCTTTTTATTTATCTATCACTAATTGAAGTAGGAAAATCAGAGCTTTATTTATTTATTTATTTATTTTACCTTATAACAATTCATATTTTAAATAGATCATTGCACAAACCGACATTTCTTCCAAGTTGGATAACACTAAAAGGCTTGTGCTGGGGAGGATCTGGCCGGATGGGTGATCCTGGAGACGCTTTCGCTGCAGCGCTTAGGAGGTCACAAGACTTGGATATCAGTGAACAAAAACATCGGCACGCTGACAGCTCGGTTGGAAGCTTACAGGCCCTCAGATTCTCCAGTTCTCTGCATCCAGCATCCAACAAGTTGCTCCCTTTAGGAAAACTACTTCACTGCGCGCTGTTGCGCTTCAGTCCTTTTCGTGCGTCTGGTTCTTTTTAACCATCTTAAAGCGCGTTTTATTCTTTTTTCAAGACCTTCAAACACTTCATCTCAAACGGATCACCATTTTTATTTGATGGAATCGAACTATTTGAGAATTAAACTCGTCGTGTCGTTGTGCGTAAAAGTGTGGCGCACGCCAATATGAACATATGTTTCTGGGACAAAAGAGGGGGAAAAAAATACACACCGAAGATGTCAAGATTGCTTTGCCACCCACTCGAAATCGATTGTATTACCTTCAAGAAGGTGGCACTTGGTATAAATAGCTACGCAATTTTTCAAGAAAGACGGCGTTGAGCACATTCTGCAGGGTGCTCTTTCTCTCTCTTATCGGAACCGCAGACTACGCCTGGAAGATTTTGCTTAAGACAACTGTGTCCACTCTCCAGGACATAAGGATCTCTTCATCCGGTGAGTTTTAGATTTAGTTAAAACAATTGGTTTTATTTAGAAAATCATACACATGTCTTGCCCAACCTGTTTCCCATCAGACAATATCTGTCCAGAATATTTGCTTCTGTTACATTAGATACAGTCCATAGATAGATTTTATTTTATTTTTTATTATTTTATGTTCTCACGCAAATGTCTGTCAGTCTTTTCTTCAAAAAAGCTCTCAACTTTCTTACTGTAATCAAACTTAATTTTGTTTTCAGACAGTCAAGCCATGCATGGGGAGAGGAAATGGCACATACTGTTGACCATCTCCTTTCTGCTCATCACCTCGGGTCAGTGTATGGACAGCAAAGAGGCCAAGCAGAATGAGAGAAGGACCCTATTGGATCTAATTTTACAGGTTATTAAGGACAGCCAGCAGCGGGACAAGCCCATGTCAAGGCGTTGTGGTGGTGGACTCCACACCTCAGCACAAGACTTGAAGTCCTCCTCCCGGGAAAAGCCTTTGTATGTCCCTAGGCTGGATAACAGTAGACTCATAGGTAAGCTGATAGGATTTATTTTTAGGACCTGATGATGAAAGCAAAATCCCTGTTCTACTGTTGGAGACAGCTGTCATTTGTCTGATCAGTGCTGCACAACCAATATAAGGGCTTTCTTTGGTTTGGCCACACAAACTTCAAATTATGTTTATTTTTCAAGTTAATTCAAGAGGTCTGCACACTTTTCTAACTATAAACCATCTTAGTAAAGGGCAAAGTGTCCATAGCTGTTTGACATTATGTGGGCCGTTCAATTTGCAGTGATTATATAATGTATTTAATAGAGGTAATCTTCATATGTGCAAGACAAAGAGTTTAGATCACACTTACTCTGATTAGATATGTCTCCTTCAGGTGTTCTGGACACACACATCATCCCCCTGGTTTAACAGTGAATGACTGATCAGTGGTGAAACGTAACATCAATTACTGGAGGAGGAGCGTTGGGGGGTTAAACTTATGAATGAATCATTCAGTGTGATTCATTGGGCATCCTTAAACATGAATGACGTCGCTTAATATTAGTCTTCACTTCCAAGTTCTATGCATAAGATTTGTGATTGATTTCTGTGTTTAATCCTGCCATAAAATGTTTCATTACTAAACCATATAATCGTCTTAGAAAGATATTGAATGTGGCATTCAGTTTCTTAAGCTTATTTGAGCTTTATGTCCAGTTTGTTGTTCATATTTTCAGGGGTTCTCAGGCAGAAACTTTGCTGAGATAAAAAAAAAAAAAAGAATAATAATGTTCTTAAGTATAGCACCAGACAGTATTGTGGAAAAAGAACAAAATGTGCTTATACTGATCCCTATGACTTAGATCATGCCTTAATGATGATGAACAGACATCACTAAGCTCAAAGTCTTGGCCCCATCTTGCTCGATTGAAAAAGTACCTTTCTCAGACCAGTGACTGGATGGAATTTATCTTTTGAGGCTGTAAGAGGCAGCGTATTAGCACTGGTGCGTGCGACACCATTAAAAGAACAATCGTCAAGCAATGAGGGGAGTTTGAAACAAAGTAAGAAGTCCTTGAGTTTTTCCTAGTGAGTTCTTCTTAAGCCATTGATGTGTCATCAGAATGAAAGCTGTGGTGAAACGAATATAAAACAAGTATAAACATGTGTTTTATATCTGTTTTCTTTGTATGAGGCAACTCCTCATCTTTTATTCTTCAGGAAAAACAGGGGAATGTATGTAGTGAATGATTCATTTGAAAGAAATCTGCATAGGCTTTGGCTACTTTGAAATGTTTGTATGCTTTATGTTTTTGAGTATCCTTGAACGCTTTAAAGGCATACTTTTTTTCTTTTTTTTTGACCTAAGAGCTATGTTAAGTTTGCTGGTTTACAGAATGGCCAAAAGCCTCTCTTTCATAGTTTCCTTGATGTGACCAGATTACATTCTACTGACTCTGGAGTCTAAAGTGCAATCAACCAAGTATTACAAGGACCCTTTATGATTAGCATTAAATCCCGAAACAATAATCTCTTTAAGCTGTCAACATTACTGTAGTGTCTTGGACCTTTGCAGGTTATAAAACACATTGAAAAAGCTTTTTTACCCCTTTAACCTTTCACATTTTGTCATGATACAAACTCAAACCACGATCCCTATTGGTAGCATAATATATGACAGACCAATACAAATAAATTTACCGCGTTTTTAGCATATAACATCGCCTCAACATCAGTATTACTATACCTCTATTGAGAATCTTAGTATGAATCCTGATGTTTTAAGTCCTAAAGGTTTGTTTGAAAGTATTAGTAAACAAACAGTATCATTAGAACCAAGAAACACAGCAAACAGGTCAAGCCAAAGTTGGCAAAAAGGTAAAAATGTAAAAGAAGGGTTAGGTTACAGAATAGTATCCCAAAAGTATTGTTCTAATTTTTTTTTTTAAATAGAAAGAGCATGACATAAGTGCACACTACCTAAACTGACAGATAGGGAAAAAAGACATGAGTCAGAGAAGTAACTGAAATCCCATGGTGACTTTGGAAAACCTTCAAAGATTTACAGACTCAAAAAGTAAGAAAATGTTGGTAGGAGGAACAGTAGGCTTGCACTCCAGAAATCTGACATTCATGCAACATTGACGTGAAATATACTACTTTTGACAGAAAGCCATAAGAACCTATGGTTCAAGTGTATGAAAATCCATGAGTGGGACAAAACAAAATTGCATATAGCATTTACATTGGTAAATGTAAGCAACAGAAAAAAAAAATATCACTTCACACTACCATGAAAACACCATTACCGGGCAAGACATTGAAGTGGTAGCATCACGTTTGGGAATTCTTTTCTTTAGCAGAAAGATGGAAGCTAGGTAAGATCATTACAATAGAATTGAGGATGAGCGAGAGCTTCTTCTTCGAGCAAGGAAAAAACTCTAAGCATGCACCCAGATCTAGAAATCAAGACTTAGGGACAGAGTATACCTCACATGGAAATGGTCCACTCAGTTTTCAGACCAAGATCAAATTGAGAATTTGTGGTTAGATTTTAAATAAAGTGTTGCTTTCACCATCTAATCTTAATGCGCTTGAACATTTTCAAGGAATTATGCTGTTGTGTCTCCAGCTTCCTAGAAGCTCTAAATTAAACCACAATTACAGCCTCTCATGAATAAAGTCCATCATTTCCATGGGCTGTATAAAGTGTAATACAAGAAAAAGGACAAAAAGGAGGAGGTGTCATCATAAACAAGACAATCAATGTTTGAAGGGGAAGAAATTAAATCACATCCCTCTGCAGTGTTTTTCTGTGGTACAGGGGAAATTAAACAGGGAATAGATTAATTAATTGTCTGATATCGATCTGCTAAGGTAAAACCTTCTTGATGCGGAGAGCACTTAGTGAAATTAAAGTCAAAGGTTATTTAAAGCAGTTAGATTGGACAAGGTTGTGAGAAAATACTGTTATTTTTTATAATCAATGCCACATGTAGGAACAAGGTCCAAAGTATAAAAACAAATATGTGTGGGTCTGTGTACATTTTGAACAAAGCAACTTGACTCTAAGATAGTATCAGACTGCATTTGAGCTATCACGTTCGTTCTAAACATGAACATTAAAATTCCCCACTATACTGACTTTATCAGTATTTACTGTAACCAAATTAGATGGGAATTTGAAAACAAATCTAAAAGGGAACGTAATGGCCTGATGGACAACACAATCTTACAATTTGGGTAGGGGAACAAAGGGTTACAATAACTAAAGATTGTTGTATTTATTGGTTTTGGATTAATTAATAAATCAGAATAAAAGGTGTTTGCTACCCCTCCCTAGGCCTGAATTTCTTGAAATATGCAAATTTGAATAACTACAAGGAGTTTATTCATTGATACTTATATAATCATTATGTTGCATCCAGGTTTTTGAGAAAAAAAGAAATCAATCTAACTATAAAAAATCAAGTTATCATCTAGCATCTTTAGAAGAGAAAGCTCATATTTAATCAGTTGCATATGTCTAATTATGTTACTGAACTAGAGTTGTATTAATTTTCATGAAGTTTTCATCATTTTCTCCATTTAGTTTTTTTCCTCATCTATTTCATTCTCACTCTATTCAATACCTTTGGGTAACAGTAGAGAAACTGCAGATATGTGTTAAACTACATCTCTGCTTCCTGGTCTTGACTTGGAATTGTCAGACTATATTAGGACTTACATTTTTCAAAAAAGAAATGTTGCTCCATCCAAAGTGGGATCCATGCATTCTGTCAAAGTCAGAAGAAGAACCAGTTATCAGTTTAGCCCACGCTGGCTTCAGGACGCCACCTAGAAAAGCAAGGGTTGAATGAAAAGATGTAGAAAAACATGTCATCAGTAGTCAGATCAGGGAGGAGCTTGACAAAATATGGAGCCTGACATTGTTTTGGCAAATTTACACACTGCGTTTGGCCCACATGCAGACACAGTCGGAGAAGAAGGAACAAGGAGCAGTTAAAGATGTTTATTTAGGCTATACACAGATATGAATAGCTCACTACGTGAGCTGCAGGCGAGGTTCGGAACGTCAGAGTTAGGAGCACTGCAAGAGGAAATAGGACACTGATTAACACTAGTAGAGTATGGGAGATCTGCGCTGATGCCACTTCGCTTACCAACAGGTACGGATAACTTATCCGGGGAGGGTGAGTGGAAGATGGGATTCTGTGACTCACTGCTTTCCAATGGGAGGAGATGGCTGAGTGACAGGTGGGCTAGTGTATGCAACATAAGCTGGAGTCCGAGCAGCACCACAGCGGAGACAGTTTCGAGGAGCAGCTGAAGGAACCAGAGTGAATCCAGAAAAGGGGGTTCCCTTGTCCAGCTCGGTAACACCAAGGGGGCTTGAGGGGAACGCCAGAGCAGAATCTGGGCAGCTGGGATTCAGGAACCAGTCCTAAGCGCACGTTGACACGATGGGTGAGAAATTCAAAGCACGATGAACAGAGAGACAGGAGAAAAGAGTTAGAACTAGGAATTTAAAACGTTTAACTCACAGGAACAAAGAACTGTCGACTGGACAGTGGCCTAGGTGTACCACAACGGTCTAACACGTCTTTTAGCTGACTGAAAACTCCTTTTAAGCTCCAGCCAGAGCAGCCCCAACAAACCGAAGGTGCGGGGCCACGCCCACCTGTCAACAACAGTCACCTGCGGAAGAGACTCAGCAGAGCACGAGATACAGAATCCTGACACACACCAAAACAATACTAACTTAAGTGAATTCTGATTGCTGTAATGAAGTGTCCTGACTGTAATTGTGAATAACTATCTTATCATATTTAACCTTGTCTTTAGAATGCAGCTTCAGGTAAGATCTGATGGCGATCATTCTTGAGTGGGTGTGCTGCTGAGTGGATAAAATAGGTGAGAAATGGAAAAGGGTTGGTGGAGACCAGTGGGTAGAGATCTTGAAGCAGGATTTTTTACACACCATTACTCAACCTAAGTAGGGGTTTGTAAAGACCCCATTGAAAGACCTCTACATTAAATTGCTCTTGGTTGCTCCCGTTTTTATTTTTGGGCTCTTTATATTTCTGTGTCTTTAAATTATTTTTCCTATATTCAAATGCGGGAGCTGAGTTTTCTCTGTGAGGCAACTCGGTATGGGCTTCAATTCAAGTAATGCCACTGTTGCCTGTTTAGACTTTGTTGTTATATTCAGTGATCTAGAGACTGAGGGCTGCTCAGTTGCGCAGTGGGTAGTACTGCTGCCTTGCAGCAAAAGGTTCTGAGTTCAGTTCCTACCCTGGGGTCTTTCTGCATGGAGTTTGCATGTTCTCCCTGAGCATGTTTGGGTTCTCTCTGGGTACTCTGGCTTCCTCCCACAGTCCAAAAACATGACTTTTAGGTTAATTGGCTTCTCTAAAGTCCCCTTAGGTGTGTGTGTGTGGTTGAAAGGTTGTTTGTCCTGTTTGTCTCTGTGTTGCCCTGCGATCAACTGGCGACCTGTCCAGGGTGTACCCCGCCTCTCTCCCGTAGACAGCTGGAGATAGGCACCAGAACCCCTCGCGACCCCACTTGGGATAGGCGTGTAAGATAATGGATTGATGTATGGATGAACCAGCAACGAATGGATTGATGTATGGATGAACCAGCAACGAATGGATTGATGTATGGATGGACCAGCAACAAATCTAGTGATTACTTTCTGATTCGCTCTGAGTTTACCATCTTTGGCTAGCAGAGAGGGCTGATCCCTCCTCCAAGGCACTAACAGGTGGACAGACTTAGCAGCAAGCCAGGCCTACAGTCAGTAAGAGAAGTGACATCCCTTCATTTCCTTTGTTTACGTGCCCATAGCTTTCACTGATCCACCCTGACATGGGATGTAAATATCTTATACTTAGTATTAGTATTAAAGTTTTTTTATTTTATATGTTTGTATAAATATTTATATATTTTTATATATTTTTATATATATATATATATATATATATATATATATATATATATATATATATATATATATATATATATATATATATATAGTGAGAGAGAGTGTTATTTTTCTTTTATATATATATATATTTAATTATGTAATATATGTATATGAATATAAATATACATATATTTTGCCAACAAGTGCGAAGCATTTCTGTGAATTCTTTCCAGACTTTTGGAAAAACATTTCAGGTGACTGCCTTTTAAAGGTGGCCACTTTCAAGAACCTAGAATATGAAACATATTTTCAGTTGTTTTACACTTTTTTGTCAAGTATATAATTCCAAGTGTTAATTCATAGTTGTGAAGCCTTCAGTGTGAAACTACAATTTTCAAAGTCATGAAAATAAGGAAAACTGTTTGATTGAGAAGGTATGTCCAAACTTACTGTATATATATGCTTATAAAGCTAAGATTTTTTTTTTTTTTAATTTAACATGGGGGTGTATCTGTAAAATATTTATTAATTCAAATTTTAATAAAGTGCCTTACAATAGCATAGGTAAGGTGGCAAAATGAAGAATGAAACATAAAATGAAATAATCCAAAGGTTTTAATCCATTTTTTAAGGCAATGCAGTTTTGTCAATATGATTTCTCTCAGCACTAGTTGTTCCTTTGCACCCAAATCTGGTTATAGAAAGGCCTCTAATTAAATACCATATATGATTGAAGGCCTTATACACGGTTCAGCTGTAAAACCTCACGACTGGTTTTTGTTTCAGATATTGTTCCAAGAGATGCACACCTGAAGGACAAATTCATTCAGCATTTTGGAGGTAAGAAGATCTCCACTAAAGAAAATAGATCAAAAGTAAATCCTGTAACAAATGCAAACATTTTAGCTGTGATTCTCTGTTGCAGTTGGCAGGCATTGTAAACTGTTTTATCTGGGAAACAACTTCAAGAACATATTTGGCATCAATCCCATGCAACTTTGGCAGGGATCTCTCAGTTTTGCCCCTCTTAGAAAGACATTTTCATTCCTGCAAGTCAATATACAGCATAGTAAAGTCGTAGAAAGCTTTGTGAACACTGTTCTTTTTTGGGTCAGAATGGGGTCGTCTGGCTTAGCTGCAAGGCAGTAGTTTAAAGAAACAGCACATGGTCTGAAACTGACAGAATTAAGTTGAAGGCATTGCTAAGCTAAGCTGATTATTTGTCTTAGGACCTGTTAGTAGACTTCATTATTGGTATGAAAAGCTGGAAGCATAATCATTGGTGCAGAAAATCTTAGATGTAATTATAGCTAACAACTTGGTTGTACTTCACTCCAAGTACAGTTAAAAACTGACCACTTTACAACATTTACAATGGGATACTGCTAGTTTACAATATGGGGTGTTTCTCACTGTTTGTTGTTTTTTTTTTTACAAAGCATAAGCTGGATAGATATGTGGCCAAATAGATTGCTCAAGAATCATTTAGTGTTAGGTAATACCAGGGCAGCATTTATTCAACACGCTATGCAAGAAAACTGAAGAAAGATTTTTTTTTTTTAAATACCCCTTTCTACTAGTTTTATTAAGGCCCAGATCTCCTTGGGTACCTGGAGTATTGTTTAGGTTACTGTTCAGGTCCTTACTTTAGGATGCTTTTCTTCTGAGTCACATCTTAACAGAGGAATTGGCTGATGACTAGAACTAGACGACTTTCAGATGGGCTGGATTTTTGGTCCTGGATGGAGACCACTGTTCTAAAAATTTGGAGCTTTTCCTGTCAGTAAATTATACTAATTGTGCATTCTATTTGTATTTGGAAGTCAAATTCCCAGTTGCAAAAAAAAAACAAAAAAAACCCCTCTGAAGTTAGAGCTCTGGCTGGGAAAGCAAAGGAAGCACAAGCTCAAATATGGTTGCAGTTACAAAGTACTCATCAGCCCCCGTAAAAGGTTGCAGTGGAATAAATTAGTAGCACACATAAAACAAAACAAGGCCAGTGTACAGTATGTGACCCAAAACACTTGATTTAAATGGCTTAGCCCTTTAGCATACAGAATAATTAAAGACTTATCTGCAAGTAAACAGACAATATGGAGCTTAAGACCCTTTTGTCAGAGTGGTTAGCATCGGAGCATAAAGCAAATCCCACAGTTTACTAATTTCAAACATTGTTTGTTTTGCAATTTGAGACATGTCTATGGTTCATAAATGCTTCAGTAGAACGCAATACATTTAGTAGTTAACAGAAAGTAAAGGAGTAAAGAAAAGTAGTGTTTTATCCCTTGAAGCTTTTAACTTCTGTCAGCAATGGAAAAAATTGGATATGGAAATGTTGGCAGCTTGTTCCTGTGGTAATACACACAGAGACTGCTGTATTATTATTTTCAGCGTTGCTAAGTTAAGGTATTAAAGACTCTGTAGAATGGCAAAATGATAGTAAAATGTTTTTCTATGATAAGTAGTTACTGAGCTCCTTCAGACAAAAGCACTGGAATAAAAAGCTTTTCAATATTCTTTTTTATATTTTACTTCATATTTCAGAAAGAAAACTCAAAATCTGCTAAAAATAAATAAATAAAAGCATTAGAGTGTGGAAATCAGCCATAAAATTCGTGTCATTAATATAATGTTTAGTTTTTGACCAAAAAAGGATATTTGAAAATGAATTGTACATATTTAGGAAAAGCAGTGGACGAAAACCAACTAGCAAAATGTTCTCCAAAGTGAAGCCTCAAAACGACATCAATTCCTGAAGAGAACAAAAATATCACTTTAGTTCACATGACGCCTGTTTTATTTTACCTAATGTGAACTTTTCTTTTCTCAAGCAGGACATGTCAAGTTCTCGTCAGAGTGTAAAACACACTTCCACAGACTTTACCACACCACAAGGGATTGCTCCAGACCAGCATGTGTGTATTTGCCTTTTTTATTCTGCTGAAAATTATTCTTTACAGTCATTTTCTTTTCATGTGCCTAATTTTTTTCCTTTCATGAAATTTTGTCTCTTAATTGCCCAAAAATATGTTTTTGCTATTACATTGCTGGCATTGTTTTATGTGAGAAAACAGTTGTTGGCAGAACGGTCAAGTTATTTTATCATATAGATTTATGGATGGATTACTAACAGGTTCTTTTTTCTTTTTAATTTTCTTTTAATTTTTTTTTTTTTTTATCTTCATATCAACTTAAGTGCATTTTAGATGAAATTACAACTGTACATTGATAACATACATCAATTTATAATTGACAGTTTTATTGCTCTGCATCAAGACATCAATAAAGTAAAAGAAAGTGTTTAGCTGTTTTAAAGTCATTTCGTGATTCTCTTCATGAGGTCTTACATTTTCAAACGAGGAAACCTCTAAAATAGCACGTCAAATGCTTAGTATGCTCATTACCCTTAAAAAGAACAAAACCAACAGATTTTTTAGGTGCTTTTTTGTCCTAATTATGTGTTTTAATAACAGACAATAGAGTTAATCCAAAAAAGCAGTTTTTGAATAATGTTTCAATATTTTAATGCAAAAAAAGGGTATCTAAACCAACCTGGCCCTATATCTAATAATACCCCAATAATGCTAAATTTGTTGCACTACATTTGACATTAATGAATGCAATCAACAGTTTATGATAATGCTGTAAATAGTTTTAGCTGAGCTAAAGCCTGCTCTCACACATGCAAAGGCTTCTCCCATACAGGTATACTTTGTTTTATCCTGTTTGAAAAACTGAGATGCTTTTTTTTCTTTAGAATCTTTCAAATTGTGCCAATGGGAGAGGAAATTCACGGCACACAAACAGTAAAAATGTGGATTTTAATCTAAAAAGGGGCCAGGTAACCCTAATCCTAACCAAGTACTGATGGCCAATAATTGATCCTGACGAATGGATACATTTAATAGCGCACAACTCTATGAGTGTTTAATTGTTTTAAATGCTTTTTGGATGTTTATAAATTATTTTTTCATGGCTAAGTTTACAGTGTAGATGATTCTTGTATTTAAAATGCTCCTGGTTGTCCAGGTGTTTCCCTGCAGATTTTTTTTGTTACATATAAGTTGTTTGTTTTTTTGCCTCATAACTTATATATATGATGGCAGCATCACACAAGCTTTTCCATGTGACTGCCTTAGATAGGAAGGAAAGATAATTTTTAAAAACTACAGGCTATGTTTTAGCAGTGATGGATTTAAAGCCAAAATAACTGAAATTAATAAACAAAAGGTAAAATGATCAAAATTTAAATCCATCCTGAGAACAAACAGCAGGACACAGAGCTCCTTACAAACTTGAACAGAGTGACAAAAGCATAGATAAAGGCTCAATGGATTCTGTCTTAATAGTCATTTGTCTCCAAAAATCCAGCAAGTCCACTAAATTCAAAAGTACCTTCACATTAGTCCAAGTCATCCCACCCATGGACGCTGTGAACTATCAAAGCTGTTGCAACAATTGCTAAAAGCCCAAAGGGAATTGAAAATTATGTGGTTGTATGTGTGTGTTCAAAGCAGGCACAGACATAAATTTATCTTACAAGAGAACATATGTTTATAATATTTTTATCCAGTTCCAATGAGCTTATGTCCATAGAACTTTGCAAGTTTTTCAGCTCAGGTTTTGGTTCCAGCTGTGAGCCTCCTGGTGGTGGATTAGGATGAGCAACAATAGATATCAGGAGCAGTCCTTAGCTCAGGCAGCCAATATTTATCACATTAGCACGATCGCTATAAAGTCAGTTGAAGCCTTATTATCTTTGTAATGTATTTGTTGATTTCCAGTCTAGACTTGTGTTCATTAAGATTTGCCCAGGCATCCTGAATCTTTCCACTGTGACAAACATTTAGAGACAGATATTTGTCTTTAATGTGAGTTTTATGACCTGCCTAACACAAAAAGTCAAATTGGTACAAATAGTTTGATATCTTAACAAAATAGATGAAGACTGCAAGACTTTTAACAATTTAGGAAATTACTTGCACGATATATTGAATCACAACATTTTGTAGATCACAACATTTTGAGAACCTTGTGATAATTTCTTATGCTCGGTAATTATTTTATTTTCTACTGTAGAGCATGCTTTGGCTCCTAAGGAACAGGGCTCACCATTGGCCGACCGAAGAAGCTGAGTGAACATCCTCATCATATCCAGACGTTGTCTTGTAGGGGTGTCTCTAAATTCATGATTCTTCAAAAGACCTAGTCTAAGTGAGCGGGGCCTTCCTCTCAGTGTAACTTTGGTCACCTATCAGCTTTGACCACATGAGGAACAGAGCTATGAAGCCCTTAATGTATTTATGGAAGTAAAAAAAAATAAAAGAAAATACAATATAATAATTATGGCAAATCTTAAAAAAAAAAAAAAGGAGGAGAAACATACACCATATGACAAACGTTAAGGAAAAACCTATGCATACATTTTTATTTAAATAAAGATGTTTTTCTTTTTCATTATCAACATATATCAGTCAAACAGGAACGGCCTTCAGCATGATATGTTTTGATGAATTGCAAATAGACATTTTAGGTCAACACCCTTGGGTTCTAAAAGTGTAATATTTCAAGTTCTACTTATTTCTATTTGTATTTACCAGCATTATCCGCCATTGCTGCCCGAGGTTGATCAATTTACATAGACACGCACTGAATTATGGGAAGTGATGGGTTAAACTGACAAATTAATACAGATATAAATGTACTTTCTATTTATGAAGAAATAAGCAGCAAAAAAATAAAAATAAAACATTTTTAATGGTTGTGGCCATTGATGCTACTCGCTGAATTTACCCAGTTTGCAATAATTTTATGAACCTTTAAAAAGCAGTTTCTGGATTATTTCTTCATAAAGATGAAAATGAAACACGGTCATTCAAAATCAATTTCTGGCTCATGGCTATTTCTAAGTTATAGATAGTATACTATTCAACAAATATTTTTCATTCTCTGCAGAGTTGCTGTATTTAAGAAACCTGTTCTTTGAATTGTAGTATTTGATTTGAAACTGCTAATGACCATTCTTTCATTGTTTCTTTCTTTTAGATTACAAAAGGTGTGCAAGATTGCTAACAAGATTAGCAATGAGTCCACTCTGCATGCAGTCATAGGTTTTGTATGTGAGTAATCTTTTCTTTATTTCTACTTTAACTCTGGGTTTTTTAAAATAATTTTCTATAAAAGCAATAATTAACAGTGTGATGTAAACTTTGTGTAGAAGAGATTTACTTTAATATGAATCTATTGTTATCCCTTAGCAAAGAGTAGTATACTTGAAGTAAATTCTATTAAGAACACTTAAGTATAAGTTTAGAAAGTATACCGAACAATGTACTTTTAGTGTACTTGAAGTATTACTAAAGTAATACTTCTTCGAACTAAATTGGGACATTTTTAAATTTACTAAAGTATACTTAAAGTATACTTTAGTAAACAATAGTATAGTCAAGTACACTTGACTATACTATTGTTAAATATATGAAATATAGTTTAGAATAAGTAAACTCTAAGTGCACTGCCTGATTTTAATTATGAAATTAGTGCACTTTTAGTATACTTCAATGATTTACTTTTTGCTAAGGGATAAATAACACTGATCATTCCTGTAATCAATAAAAAATTAGGATCTTGTATAGAATATGATCTGATCCCTGAAATGTTGTCATGCTAGAATAAAATCTTAACTCATTTTAACACTAACATTTACTTTTAGTTGCCTGTGGTTTTGTTGAGCTTGACCTTCAACCTTGTTGCAAAACCCAGAACCATGTCTCTTAAATGAAAATGCAGAAAAACCCTGACATAGATTCTCCTAAATGAGAAAGTCTAACTGTCTGATTATGACCTTGAGCTCCAACAAAAATCTGTCCTCCAAGTATAACAGAAGCTCCATTTCTTAATGGCATAAAAATATTTGAAGGACCTTATCAGGAAATTGGGACTTAAACATTTGATTGAGATACTTTTGCATGACCTTACAGTGGCCATTCAGGCTTGAAAATCCTTTATTACGTCCAAATAAAATCCTTGTAGTTGTCCAAAATACTCCAAAGAAACATTGAACAAAAACGTGCCTCCTCTTAGAGCGAAGAATTATAGGCATATGATAATGCCACATCGGGAAAAATACAAAACTACATTTATTTCTCACACAGGATCAGGTTGATTTCAATTATTTGAAACCTGCTATTTGCAATTATTCGGGTAATAATGATTATTTGGTGGAGTGGCGGCCTAGTGTTTAGGGCATTGAGCTTGGAATCCTGAGGTTCTGAGT